AAAACAACCACAAAAATTGTCACTCAAAACATTTAAAAATTCATACAAAATAGAACACAGTGTTTCCAAAACATTTTCCCGAAAAAAATCCATTGGGTTAATACGATTTCAACAATATTCTTAGTTTAAGACGTTTTACTAGTATAAAACACAAATAAAGAATTAATTCTTAGTTAAACAAAATATGTAAAATCATCTAAATATGTACCAAAAATATTCACTTAGTCGTTATAAAAAACGACCAAACAACTATTTCCCGCAGAAATTACAGTCCAAACCAACCAAATCGGTTCTGAACGCTTGGCGTCGACATTGGCCTGAGCGCGCTCTGGTCTGTAGATCAAACAAGTTCTCAGGCGAGTTGTAGTGAAACAAATTTTTTTATTGGCATCGACTTAAAAATTTGGCGCTTGTCTTTGGCGGTTGAGGACTCTAATGTCCATAAGGGTAGTTTTGCAAAATCAGCCTATATGTCGCATCTATATTAATCTGTGGTCAAGTGTATTACAGTGGTGTGCCTGCCGTTGCTGTTTTCGACTTCGTCCATGCACGCTGTTTTATTATCATTCTATATTTCCGGTTTATAAAATCAGTTATTTTCAGAACTATAGTTCCTTTTGCAGGTGAAGTAAATAATTACTGGAATATTTTTTTACAATTTCCAACATTTACGTCCGCAACAAAACAATATGTTTCATTGGCCCCTAAAAGAACAGAGATCTCTACGCCACTGGTCGATTTTTTTCGCGCAGCGCAGATGACTCAACGTGCTGTTTTCAAAAGATTTCTACTATAAATATATATATATATAGTAATTTAATTTAAAACGGCGAACAGGTAGTTGATTTAAATTTTTCAAAATACCCTGAAGCTTTTTTTCTAATTTGTCTAAATAAATGTGATTAGTTTCTTAGAAAGAAAATTTTGGGAAAGTATTTAATTTACTTTTTTCTATATCCATGACAACAAAAAGTGGACATGATGTGGACACAAAACATTTAAAAAAAGATAATTACCAGCGGACGCAAATCTTTTAATCTTTAATAATAAGGATGTCCCTAAATACTTAGAAGGGGGCTAAAAGATAATGTAAACTTAAAAATCCGTCTTTAATTGCCTCTTACTTGGGGTTGTGACTTGCAGATTAACTTTATAAAACCTTAGAGGGTGGACAATTTCATAAAATTTTATTGTCGGATTATGAAGAGTATGAAAGGACGGGCTCCATCGGTTATCTGTTATAGATTTAAGTGGACCAGAAAAATGGCTAAAGTTTGTGTGACCACAAATTTTAAGTATTCTGCCCTTGTTTACTCAATTATTTATTAAGATATTTTATTTCTGTAAGGCGCAATGAATTTTTACAAATTTAAAATTGATCCATAAATAGCGAAAACCAGATAATATCATACTCATCACAATTTTAACGCGTTGTAGTTTTTTTTGACAACAAAATTTAAAAAACGGAAAAGCAGTCTGGGTAAGGTTTTTTACTCTCATTTCAACAGTGTGGAGTTTATTACAATCGGAGGTTTACTTTTGGCAAAAACTTGGGCAGAAGTTTATATGTATTCTCTATGCTGGAATATGCTTTAGCTCACCCTTAAAGTGATGAAGAGCTTATGTATATTGTGGTTACCTGGTTTCTTAACAAATTCTGTGATAAACTCGTTTTAGATTTTAACTCCCTACTGTGTTAATCTTTCCTTGGTGGGGACGAACCAGGTAAACAGGTAAACGATTCCTAGAAAAAAACAAAACAATATTTTTGAGTATTTGGGTTAAAAGTAATTGTAAGAGTGACTGAATTACTCAAAAAAGGGTAATTCGTTACAATTACTCATTACATTTTTGGAAAGTAATTACAATTACTCATTACTTGAAAAGGAATTCAATTACAGTAATGAATTACTTGTAATTGAATTGCTTCCAACCACTGCTTTTACATAAAAAAAACAACGTCTGCTTTCACCTAAAATTTTCTTTTTAAACAGAAAAGTACTTTTCACCGAGGACACGTTGAAAGCTAACGTTTCAACACTCAAAATAAGACAGGAGAGAAAAGTGTTTTAAATTTTAAACACTATCTTGTTGAAAATATGTAAGATTTTTTTGCATTTTTCCCTTGATCAGTTTCAACGCAACTCTTCCACCTCCATGACGCTTTACGGTTGTTAGATCGCTGCCTAGATCGGCGAGTTTGGAACCCAATGATCTGAACGTATGTCCATTGGACTTGTTAATTCTTTCTAAACATCGTGTAACAAGTTGTGGAATTTCTTCAATCAATAATATTTATACTCACATATTCTGCAATGCATTTTCCCAATTTATAAAACAACAGGCAACTTTGTATTTACGATGAACTATTCCAAAAACATTGTTACTGTCCAAATTACCAGCTGTACAAATGTACACTGGATTTCGTTTTAGTATCCGGAACATTTATTATTAATGAAAATCCTTTATTTTACTAGTGTTTATCTTCAACATTCACAATGTTTTGTCTCAGGAGGAAGGTATTGAATAAATGACGATAGGGTCATTATGACAAATATCTAAATTCATGTTTTCTTGGCGTTTCACAGCTCGTAGAATACGAAGACGTAAATAAACTACTGTATCATTTGCTATTCAATTTCGGGTGTAGGTTACGATCACAAAGACTGATATTTATTGAATAAATTTAGCTCGAAGTATACAGAATGGCGATCATTACATATGATTTATTATTTCACTTTATAGAGTTTACACACGGACTTTGACAAAAAAGCTCAAATAGGATGATTTAGTTTTTCGTAGGTTATATTTTAAAAACAGCTTTGCATTTTTAGGCTGATCACCTAAGAATCATTACGCCATTGATATTTTTTAATGGAAAATCTGGTTTTTATTATTATCTGTTTTTTGACATGGAGAACTAGATTAAACTTTAAGAAAATTGAAAAGACAGTAAAATAATATTGTGCCAAAACATCCATCCACGCCACATTTTTACGGGCTACATCTTGAAAAAATTTAATCTTCTTATTGGTATACATTTTCATATTTTGAAGTTACAGTTTTTTGTTTTAAAGTTGAGGTATATTTTTTGAAATATTTTTCAAAGATACATAGATGCAGTCCACGTGCCAAAAATGAAAAGGAGGGAGTATATCGGAACACTAATAAATTAAAAATCCGAATATGAAATATCTTTTCTATAAAATGATCGTGTACAGCAAGAGTTTTACTTCTGTTTTACTTACAGTGGAAGTTGTGTAAGGTCGTCATTTACAACTCTTAAAAATTCTATTTTTTTCGTAAAATAGTCTAGAAGTAATTTTGTAAACATGTTTTACATTTTTACTTCCCGAGCGTAACATAAGGAAGTATTGCAATAGCATCCATCCGGCAAATGGCTACATGACACCTAGAATATGAATCAGTGGGTGTCCTATTTCCATCTATCTGTCTGTCGTTTTCCGTCTATGTCGATCTGAATTAGACACATAATCTTCGAAACTGTTGGGCCGATTGTTGCCAAATTTTACATGTATTTTAAGAATTTAAGAATATCTGTTTAGATAACCTTAGACCAAATACGCATTATTATTTTTTTTTTGTTATTTAAATCTTCAGGTGATGTAATTCACACTAATTACCGTTTCATTTGCAAGGAAACTACATATTAACCTACTATTGAAAAACTATTAGGCCAAAAATTGACCCTTTTGGTACCCATCCTCATTAGAAGAGTGATCTGTTCTAATGCATTGCTTTCGATTATTTAAAAATAAAAAGAAAGTATTTGATACCTGTGAGGCGAAAATTATAAAGAAACAATTTCCTTAGGAAAACATTATGCAGTACAGTATTAAAAGCTGCTTTGTTTAAAGCCCTGATGTGTATTTTCAATAAAATTGAGAAGAGCTGTAAGTAATTAGCTTTCAAATATTTTCGGAAAAAATGACTTGTGCAACATTTATGTCCCATTTCTTGCGCACTGCTATATATAACTACTGCCTTTTTAAGACAGTCAGGATGAATACTTTCCGCTATTTACAGATTAAACAATTTCGTTTGTTAATGATGTGAGTAAATATTCGACAATTTTCATAGTCGAGATAGAAAAATCAGAAATGTATTTAGAATTACCAAATTCTAATGAATCAAATGCATCTCTAACCTGTACATAAGAAACTTTGTAAAGTTTAAAATATCCGCAATTTTTTACATTAAAATTCATTACTACAGGGAGTTGAATTGGGCTTTGGGGATTGAAGGAACGATATTTTTCGCTTCGTACTTAAAAAATGCATTGAATTTGTGTGGAGAAATGTCTGTTGTTTTTTGGGGTTACCAATAGCATTTGTATAGGTTTTTGCAGCTCTGTGAGTGTAATCCAAAACATAAAAATAAGTCACATGAAGAATTTGTATAGGAATCATTAAAGTATAAGTTAAAGTCACCTTCTAGTGCATTTTTTTTATATTGTAGATCGTAACAATGATTTATTTAAGAACCTGGTGTTCAGTTTTAAACACAAAAATGTGTTTCATGTTTTAATTTTTTCTTGATTGTTCTTATTATTTTTCAATGATAGAAATCTACATTCCAAACAGCGATGTTCGACATAAGTTTCAGCTTGATATTCAATAAATTAACTTTCAGTTAATTCACCCTAGACTATAATTACACCGACGAAATTAAAAAATATATACTCCTGTGTGAATAAGGGTGATCTTAAATTCATGAACTCCATTTTTTATTAGAATTGTTTGTACTGTTATCTCCTAAATCCAGTGCAAGTAAAGGTAATGAAACGTTGATTATTCTCCACTGTGTTGACACGATTAATTCTATTTTTTACTCTAAAAATGTTCTTTTCTAAGAAAAAAACTTGACCCTATTGAAAGGCCCGTCACGGAGTTTCCCACCGTACAACGTTACAACGTTAATATTTAAAACTTATTTACTTACGCGTGACCCTTTTTTTACGGATGCTTATCTTTTTCAAGGTGAAAGAATAGTAGCAGCTGGGGATTCAGCAGGAGCAAACTTACTGCTTTCAACCACCTTAAAATGCCTCCATTTGGGCCTTCCACCCCCAATGGGCCTATTCGTAGCATACGTGCCTACTGTAATAAATTTCGTTCCTTCACCAGCTCGGTTATTATGCATGATGGATCCATTGTTGCCCTTCGGGTTTTTGATGCGTTGCTTAAAAGGTAATGCTTTAAACGGAGAAGGTACATAGAACTAAATGTTTAAATATGCACAGCCTACGCTTGTCCGGGAGCTTGTGGAGAAATGCAGAATAGAGGAGCAACTAGCGAACAAACTTCCGATACTGAAAGCTTCGAAGAAATTTCCGAATCAGATCTGATGGAATTACAAGCTCACAAATCCCCGATTTCTGAGACTTCAGACACTTTAACTTACGGATCTTTAAATTCGAATGACGATAACAGGAATATCAAAGATATAGATCTTCAACCATCAGATATTGAAAATAGCCAGAAGTATGTGTCTGATTTTTTGGAAAAATACGTTTTAGGTATGTATTTTGCACGATTTTTGGAAAAACGCATACTTACACAGCATAACACATTTTTTGTTGTACATGTACTGGCGACAAAGTAACGCACAAAATTATTGGAATATCTCGCAAAAAAATATTACAGTTATTTACTTAAACTATCATAGTAATTGCATGGTTTTTACTAGATTAATGATCGTTAAAATCCTATATTCTACGCGTGCAAAACATGTTACATTTGCATTTATTTGTATTATTTAGTTTTGTTTATGCTTTGTCTTGTACTTAAAGTAATACTTTTCTTTTAGACTCTGATACAGAAACTGACGGGACAAGGGTACCTGTATTAAAACACGAAAGCGCGACTTCTTCCCAATCACTTGATGATTCTCTACAAAACAGAGTTACTAATTTATTTACAAACTTAAAATGGCGTTTTAATAGCTGGATTGCCCAGAAGGCCGCAGCCGGTGTTGACTTTGTGGTTCCAAGAAGTGCAAGCGCTGCTGAGAAATGTTTGGATTTGGAGAAACAGAATAAGTTATTGGACGAATTTAAATTTACAGTTCCCAAAGATCCATACCTAAGTCCATTTTTCGCTGCCAAAGAAGATTTAGAACGATTTCCTCCTGTACGGGCTTTGGTAATATTTATTTTCTTGTTTAGCAGTCAATTATTTGAACCTGTTTTAGACCATTCATCTGGATCCCTGTTTAGATGATTGTGTAATGTTCTGTAAAAAATTGAAGGAACTAAATAAAGACGTCCATTTGGATATACTTAGCGATTTGCCGCACGGATTTTTAAATTTTAGTTTGGTAAGTAAGCGATGTTTTAAAAAATAGTCATTCACGTAATTTGTTTTAGGTTTCTAAAGAAGCTTTTGAGGGTTGTAAGCTTTGCATACAAAGAATTAACGAGCTATTGGATCTAGATAATTTACCCCCTCTAGAATAACTTTTTATAGATAAAAGGAACAGTTTAGACCTAGAAATACTAGTTTTTAGACTTCACTCTCAGAGAATAAACATCTTTAAAGATTTCTGTCCAGTATATTCATAGAGTATTTTTTATACAAATTTGAGGTATGTTGTAGATGTCTACTTTTCTGGTAAAATATATTAAGTCAATTTTAGTATTACTATGAAATATTTTGGTTGGTAGACATATCTAAGAAAACCCAGTGGATTTCAAATATTTGAACTGTGTAAAAATTGTCTGGTTTTCTTTTTAGAAATTCGTATAATTTTGTCTGAGTACTCTTTTTTGAAGACGGGTGTTGTGTTATTTGTTTAGATTATATTGTGGTAGTACCTGTTCAATTTCTCTTTCTTTGATGGCTGTGTTGAGGATCACGTTGTTCTTCGCTTTAAAGGTTTATCATTTGATGATTTTCTTATATTTTTTTTTTAGCTTTTTGGCAAAATTAATAGTTGCATCAAATTATAAATCCAGGGCAGTATTAGGCAAGAATTGTACTTGCATTAATTCCTTCATATACCAAAATACCAAAGTGAACTTGTTGCGTAACTAATAGTGATAATAATTATTGTTGTGTAGATCTGATTGTCAATATTTATACAACGTATTTATTGGTACTAACTGTGTAAACAATAAATTCTTAATCGAATAGATTTGTTAATTCAATTTTGGATTTTTATCAAAGTTGTATTTTACCTAATACCCTACACGAAATGACGTTTTGTGAGTTCATTTTGTTGATTATAAAAGTAAATTAACGAGATAAAACTAAAAATATAACAACTACTTTGGAAGTAATCAACGAAATTGAAGGGAGAGAGATGCAACCAAAAATACACCATTGGCAACTCATTTTCGTTTAAAAATTCGTCAGGAGTTATCAAAAACATTATCTCGAAAACCGCATCTACAAAAAATGTGAAAATTTCGCGTTCTGTGCTATTATTTTTATTTTACAAACATCAATATTGAAAATACCCCTCAAACGGCATAAAAGTGTTCCAATACTCCCAATTAAACTCATAGCAACATCAAACTGTCAAAATTGTGTGGTTGAAAACATTTTGCTTTGTCAGTTTATTTTGTTAATTTTAACAGAAAATGGGCGACGAAATGAAAAATTCAACCGAAGAGTCAACTCCTGTGAATCAAGATGAATTAATTCTGGCCCAACAACGCCAAATTGAGAAAGAGGTACCGCGTTAGTAAATCTAGGTTATGTTGTCTTTCATTTGTGTTTATAGATTTCAGAGTCAATTGCTTTAGTCGGTGAATTAGAGCCGATATCGTCTTTAAACAGAGAATATTCGAACGATGAAGTTTACTTAGAAAAAATCAAAGATCTGTCTTCCAAATACAAGAACATCCGTAGAACTAGACCTGATGGAAATTGTTTTTTCCGCGCGTATAGTTACGCAGGGCTTGAAAGACTGTTAGATAAAAAAGACGAATTTAAGACATTTTATAAGCAAGCTGAAGAAAGTAAAAATGTTTTAGTTTCACTCGGCTTTCAGCAGTTTACAGTAGAAGATTTTTACGATACTGTGAGTTTTGTAGTTGTTGGGATGTAGCTAATTTGGTTGTTTTTAGTATATGGAAGTTCTTAAGCGCATAGGTGACATAGTCGAAGTAGATGACGCCAAAAAGACACTACATTACTTATTTAATGAACAGGGATATTCTGACTACATGGTAGTTTACCTGCGGCTGCTGACCAGTGGACAGTTGCAAAAAGAACAAGACTTTTATAGCTGTTTTATAGAGGGTCATAGAACTGTAAGTGCATCTAATGTTTTAATCATGGTATATTAATAATTGTTTGTATGTAGGTAGCTGACTTTTGCCACCAAGAGGTTGAACCGATGTATAAAGAAAGTGACCATATTCACATCATTGCAGCTTGCGCCGCCTTAAATACGGGAGTTCGAGTGGTTTATATGGACCGGGGTAACAACAAATCAGTCACTGAGCATGATTTTCCCGAAGGGTGTACACCTTCTGTTCATTTATTGTACCGTCCAGGGCATTATGATATCCTATATCCTTAATTTGAGGGTCTTCTTTGCAATTTCATTTCTACAGTTCAAGAATAAAAACATTGTTGAGATTCAAACCTGATTATTTCATTTTAATAAAATCCAAAAAAACTGCGCTCATTGGAAGAAGTGGTAAGTGTTTTAGCAAATAGTTGTTTGACACATTGAAAGCCAAAAACAGAGTCATTGTTTGATGCTTATTTATATACGAGTCCACAAATGGAATTCACTCAAGTCTGTAAGCATAAATTGTGTTCACTTATCTTATTATGTAATTATGTCAATGAAAATGGATCCAAGTAAATATGTTCTACAAATACTGTTGCATTAAATTACATGTTGACTCTTGAATTGGTAACATATAATTTTGTACGATTTCACGAAATACGTGTTTACTGCGCAAATATAATTACAGCGGGAACAGATTTTCCGTAGTTTTGAAGTCGTTGAGGATTACTGTTGTAGAACTGAATCTAATGGAGTTAAGATTGCTTTTAGTATTCGTAATGTACGTGGAAATGTCCAACTGCGGGATGATTTTATCAATGATTGATAATTTAATTGAACATACTAATAATACGCAGATTTTATCAGGATTTTTATGTAACAAAAAAGGTAGGAACTTTAATTGATAATTTTATTACAGTGACGAAAAAATCTGCAAACTATAAAATGGAAAAATTACTCTTTATCAAAAAATGTAAGAAATTGTAAGTGTCAATAATAAATGACAGCAAGCAGTAAGGGTAGCTCTTATCAGAGCCAGGTGCATTTATGTTATTAAAATTGGACCAGTGGATCCAATGGGTGTCAGGTTCTTTTCTGGTACAAATTTCGGTCACGAGAATTTTTGTTGTTATTATTATTTACTGTTTCCTCGCCCCGGAAGTACAGTCCAACAGATTCAACTTGTTCGAAAATTTTAATTATAAATTTGATTTTACGAATTTTATTTTACGATGGTAATACCGAAAAATTAAAATATTTATTCAATTGCTAAAATAAAATTTTAACAGTTACGGGATCGATAGCTGTTATCAAGGCGATCGAGCTCTCAGCTCTCAGCGTTTTGTTGTATTGCGAGATTCAAGAGGTAAAACACTGTTATATAATTGACTCCATTAGTCAAAGGGCAAGTGCACGAAGTAGTAAGTAACCCAAGCCGGAACGAAATAAAAAAAGGCAGGATAACTTGTGTTAAAAATCCCCCTACTAACATCGTTGCAATTAACCGATGAACTTCAATTCGTTCATTTAGTTATCATTGATTAAAAGAAGTCTTGACACATGTTCAGTTGAGAAGAGTTTTATACAGGTGATCGCATTAATCTGAAATTTGTACTCTGGAAGTTCTGATGAGGATTAAAAAAATTACATCATCATACAAAACGAATGACATATGAAATAATCAGCAGGCAATGTTCAGTAGGATCGAAATCGAACAAATTAAGCTTTACGAAAATAATAGGCTCGTAAGAAAATAACACATAAACATGAGACAAAATAAACATAAAATACCCCCGACATTTCGAGTCCATGATGATACTGATTTAACCGATGATTATTTTCAAAGTCCTTTATCTCAGAATGGATAAAAAAAAATAAAATGTAACAACTTAAATAAAAACGTCCAAACTTTAGATATAGCTATTGTTAAAAAAATAAGTCAAACCTGAGTGAGTGAATGTTCGTCACATGTTTTATATGGAGAGTAACATTTATCGTTGTCAAATTGTGTTATAGAATCACGAATAGTTAAAAATCTTAACCTGAACTGTGAATTTACAAACAATAGCAAAAAAATAACACGTATTGACGAATTCGCTAAAGAAAATCGTTAATTAACTGGTCTTACACTAATTACGCTGGTTGGAGGAGAACCGTGGCATTGGATGCGATTAATTTTTTTTTTTGTTATTTTGAAATTATAAACTAAATTAAACGTACCTGCACTTACTAAGAGGTAACTACTCAAGTGGCCCCCAATTTTTTGTACCTGTTAAAGGATGACATTCACTAATTCCTTAACGCTCTGCAACATACATAGATGATTGCCTACGTTACTAGAATTATTATTATTATTATTTCTCAAATGGCGTTGCACTTTTTTCCGATGCAAAATTTTAAATTTCGTACACCACAGTGAGATGAACTGTTCCTGTATGATGAATAAAATAAATTGCTTCATGCATTTTTTAAGTCATCCCCTACAAGCCTTTCTAAAAAATATGAAAGCTTTAAAAATTACAGCTGCAGATAGACTCACAATACCGAGCACGGTTGTAGAATAGATAGGTTGATACACTAGCATACATTTGCATATCCCTGGTCAGCGACGCCAATTGCCGATCGCGTCGCCTGGTTTTTGACGTTTTAGGGACACAGAACTCTATAGGCATCTGTCTATAACCGATGTAATTAATAAAAGAAATCGTATTTATCGACTTCGATCAAATGTCATTTACAAATTTTGTATTGTTCATAAAGCAATGTAAACCAAAATCCCTAAAATAACTAGAACGATTTCCGCTCGTCAAGGTAGAGGCGCTAGCTGTCTGTGTCCTTTCCATGGATATAGGGATCGAAAAAAAGCGTCGCCATCCCAAGCCATTAGTGTACAAACCTATCTATTCTACAACCGTGATACCGAGACAGCAATAAAAACACAAACTAAGACAGCCATGGATTTTTGAAGATTTGTCTTTGATAGAATTTCTGTCATCTTAGATGATCGTGAATTTGAAACTTTGACTTGAAAATGCAACGATCACAGCCAAACTTTCAAAGATCTACGAAGCTTACGTACACCTTAAAACTTTTCCAAAATTTCAGAACAATCAAGGCGAATTCATAAACTACAAGTACACGAGTATGTTATTTTATAAAATTTAAATAGCATTTACCCTGCATATTCTGAGGTGACGTAATCAAATTGTTGGTGGGGAAGAATACACAAATTTTGGTTAGCCTACCTACACGAGGAATGTTGAACTTTCGCATTTTTTTTTTTTAATATTAAGAAAGTACTGTTTTTGGTAAATGATGAAAAATTTACAGCTAGAGCAAGATTTGAACTTACGTCTTTCGATTGCCGAGCGGCTATCCTACCAACTGAACTATCCGGGATGCTCATGTTTTTTCTCGCTTATGTATTTGCACCGTTACATGTTTAATCTGTTTCAACCAAAAGTACCGATTTATAAGTACAAATAGATTTCAAAAAGTTCCAAAGTTAGAATTTTGTCAACAACACGTCGGGCCACCATAAATTAACAAGCGGTGACGGCACTTTTTTTTCAACTGTTGCACTTTTTATGTAAGCAACCCAATAAGTGTTTCCAAGTTAAACAGATCAAATAGAATGTACACATTACGAATAAGTAAATACATACGAATAAATAGATTTTAGTAATTTCTAAATCTATCCCAGAATATCTCTTCGTTCTCACTGAACTTTTAAGGTGAATATGTATATTTAGTTCATTATTGGATTGATTTTTACGCTGAAGCTGTTTAGTGGGTAAGGTTCATTAAATCAACCAGAAATTTTTTGTCATGTTTTCTTATATAATTATTATCGATGATTTTTTTGTTTGCTTTTACATTTTTTATTAATCCTGGCGTATTCTTTAAATTTAATCAATTTTATCATCGTGTCTTGTTAAAGAATTGGGAAATTGATCTTACGTACTATTTGTAAAGAAAAATACATGACAAAGTTTGTACGAGATTTACCAGATATTTGTTTTTTTTTTATAATTTACTCATTTGGTTTTCCGAGTAAATAATCGCCGAGAGAAGTACTGCAACAGTCACTTTGATGAATGTAAGATTTCGATTTCGTAATGTAAATAGATATGCAAAACATGGGGTGTTGCACTTAAAAAAGTACGGTTGAATGTAGGTATTTCCGCCCAAAGCCGAAAGTAATATTAATAATAGACTGATTATATGATGAAATATTCCAATCAGAATTGGCTATGAGAAAATGTATAGGTGGTACAGGTGGTACTACTGCAAATCTGACACATCAGATCCGACAATGACTGACATATCTGTCACTTGCCATCAGTGCCAAAAAATAAACACATGCAGCAGAGATCCATGTACCTACCTATTTATTTTATGTCAATATCCAGTGACAAAAAGGCTGTAATAAAGCTTGTGTTGATTTACGTTAAAATGGAGGCAGTAATAATACCTAAATCTTGACAGGCAAAGCCAACTCTAATTCATTTTATTTTCCATCTTACGGTGCAAAGTAAACTTGTTAACAAATAAAATAAAAGTTTTGTTAAATCTAATTCGTAAGACATTCACATTATTATTTCACTTAAATTATATCTTTTTAGATGGCTTACTTTTTTTACAACACTTTTCTTCGAAAAAGTTTCAAGTCAACATTTTTCCGCTACATACTTTGGGAATTCCGTACCCAATTCCTCCAAGTTTCTCAACTTTTGTGCTGGATGCATACTGTTCCAGTGCCAAGCATGTGATATATCTGGTATTACAGTTACAATTACGTTATATGTACATGTAGTACATGCACATATAACGGGTGTTCAGTTGAAAAAGTCCATACTGTTGTGTATAACTGAAATTTAAGCGTTATCAGTTGTCATCGATTAGATTTTAAATTTATTGCAGACATATACTTCACAATTTTAACAAAAAGTCAAAGTCAACTTGATGACTTTTTCATTTGACCACCCGAGATGTACACGTGATCATAAAATTACAATTTTTTAAGGCAAATAAAACAAATTTATTCTCCAATCCTTTTAAGTGGATTATCTACCACAATGTAGCCATCGAAACTGACAAGTTAAGGGAGGATTATTTTAGTAACATAAACGTTTTAGTTGATAGTGATGTTACTATCTGTATACGAAAGACGGATGACTTGTTCAACATAATCAAAATTTATAAACGACACATCGATGGTCCTTTACTACTAGAAAATATAGGTACATGGTCATTTGATCAAGGTCTCATTGACAATGGATATGAAAAAATTACATACAAACGGAGAAGAAATCTCATGAAAACCATTTTGAAATCTTCTATTGTGCTTACAAACAATGATTCGATAAATCACCTAACAGACAAAAGGTACAAAGACAGTAAACAATCGTGTGAATACAGCTTTGTTATTGGATGTGTCAAAACGCATGCTCGCCCAATCAGTGTGTCAAGAGTATGTACACTCGTAGCTTACTCATAAGGTAGCGAGTTTCCTTAACCAGTCATAAAGCTGTGTTGAATTTTAGAGTTACCTGCTCCACTTTTAATTTTCTAGATATTACTTGTTATATAAGTTGTTAATATTAGCTAACAAGACTTATTTTAGAGATATTCATATCGACAGCATTGCGAAAGTAAATTATGTTCTGGTAGAACATCTGGCAGATACTCTAAATGCTACTTTAAAATATTCCTTGCAAAATACTTGGGGTTATAAGGATAAAAACTCAATGTGGAGTGGGATGATAGGGGAGTTGACACGGAAAGAAGCAGATATAGGAGGTACAGCACTTTTCGTCACTTCCGATAGAGTCGATATTATAGATTATATTGCAATGACAACGAAAACAAGGTCGAAGTTTATTTTTCGGCAACCGAAACTGTCATATGTTAGTAATGTTTTTACCCTACCATTTGATGACTACGTTTGGGCCAGCATCTGTGCTTTGTTTGTTATTATAGCGTTTATTTTATGCATTGTCATCAACTGGGAATGGAAAAAGAAGAAATACGTAGAACTTTTGGTAGCATCCATTTTCTTAACAATTTGAAATAAGAACTATTTTTTTATAGAATGAGACCAATGAGATTGAAATTCGCAATTCTTGGAGCGAAGTTGCTTTCGAAACATTTGCAGCAATGTGTCAACAAGGCACCACAACTGTCCCTTATAGTATACCGGGCAGGATAACTTTAATTTTTCTTCTTGTTTCTTTCATGTTTTTGTATACTTCTTACTCTGCAAATATAGTTGCTCTATTGCAATCATCATCAAAGAATATTCAAACTTTGCAAGATATTCTTAAGTCTCGTTTAGATGTAGGCGTTGATGACACAGTCTTCAACCGTTTCTACTTTCCGGTAAGTTGAACAAAATCAAGAAAAATAATAGCCTTCGTTCTAAATGTAGAATGCTACTGAACCGGTACGTAGAGCACTATACTTACAAAAGGTAGCTCCACCTGGACAAAAACCTAAATTCTATCCCATTGAAGAGGGAATAAAACGGATGAGAAACGGTTTATTTGCATTTCATGTTGAAACAGGCCCCGGTTACAAATTTGTGAGTAAGTATTAAATTTCTTCATCAGGAATTATACTATATAAAAATTAGCCGAAACATTTCAGGAGGACGAAAAATGTGGTTTACAAGAAATCCAGTTCTTACAAGTACCTGATCCATGGTTGGCTATACAGAAGAATTCGTCGTATAAAAAGATGTTAAAAGTGGGGTAAATTATTTTGTTTTACTTAGCTTCTTTTCTGTAATTTTTTTCCAAAGACTTCGTTTGTTGCAAGAGAATGGTATACAAGAACGGGAAGTCGGCTTAATTTATACTAAAAAACCTCAATGTTTGTCAAGTAGCAGCAGTTTTATCAGCGTCGGATTGGTGGATTGTTATCCCGCTGCTGTTGTTTTGGCCGGTGGTTTAGGGGCAGCGGTATTCGTTTTGTTTCTAGAACTGTATGTAAATAATAGGTTGTAGACGGTTACTGAATGTATACGAAATTTTTATTTGTTGCTGTTTTTAAGAGTCAACCATTACTCCAGAAGAAGGAAGAAGTGTGTCAAGCTTGTTCCGGGAGAAGTTAAGATAAAAACATATACAAAAATTTAGATTATGTGTACAGAGGCACTTATCCGTGCCATTAAAAGTTAATCACACACGATCAAATTTACAGGAAACAATTGCAAATTAGATTTTAATTCAAATTAAATATTTAATTCACATGTTATAAACAAACACATTTTTAGACACTAATAATTTATTAATTACAAATACTTGCGATTCTTAAATGCAGTATTTTATACCATAGAGTTAAAAAAAAATTACCATGGGAATTCCTACGAACATTTTTAAAAAAGATGCACTGTATATCTGCATACAAAAACAAATATGTAACAAGTTATTCTATCACTGTATACGACAATTAAATTCATTACAGAGTAGATCAAATCATACTCTAGTAATACATATATGGAGTAGAATACTGCCCTACTGAACGTTTTGACGACCGATTTTTGGGATTAAGGACTCAGGCTCTTCAATTTAGTATTTATGAATTTATTAATTCCATCACTATACTTAGACTAGACTTAACTCACCACGTAGAGACAGCAACGACGTGCCTAAAATAGAGCAATATAATTTCTGCAACTTTCGCCGCAGCCACTTCCAATGCAATGATGTCAACTTGATGATGATGATGCTATACGAGTTTTTAACCGAAATTCATTACGCAGTGCATTTTTTACAGAAATGTCCAAACGATGCATGTTACGTTCAGAGCACAGACTAAAGCGAGCAACCTTCAAGTTCTCCATAGACTCTGCTGTAATTGCACGTAGTGAGGGTCAATAGCGCTTTGTACGTTGTTCTTTTCTGTAAATTTTCCTCTATAAAACTGGGTTTGCAATGCGATGACTGTTGCGTTTTATTTCTAATGTGTAGTGTTCATCCCACTATATGCGCGAATTTGAAAGAAAACTAACCCTTTTTTGTATCGTGCAGTTAACCATCTGAAAGCAAAGCCCTCAGATGGAAGGTTCAAGTGCATCACTGCACTGACGGTTCGCCTGTTCACTTATTCGATTCTTGAATTTTTAAAAATTTTTCGTCTAAACAACTTTATCAGGTTATTCGTAAAGATTACTCTGTTTTTATTGCTTCTGTTTTTCGTTTATTTAAAATGCTGCTTACTTTTAAATGAAATAATACATTAATTACCATGACTAGGTACCTATCATCTAGTTAGAATCTAAACACTAGAATCCCCGAGATAATTGTTAAATTCCATTAAAAACACCCAGACGAAAATTTTTAGTAATCTTTAAAAAATCTTTATTTATTAACATGTAAAAATACATATAAAAATAATCACATATTTGTTAAACAGATCATACTAAGTACAGTAAAGCCTTTGTTCAAAAGAGATAATCCTTTTGTAGATGTTGTTCACAGGAAGTTTCTTGATCGCTGTATAAAACTGACTAGACGTTTTAATACCGAAAGTGTTAATAATATGTTCTCGTGCTACATTTCTAGACAATTCAACTAACGAAGGCACGGACGGTAATATTTCCATTTTTTTCATAACCTTATCTGACGCAGTTCCATCCGCAAGAAAAAAGTCTTGTAATCTCGGAAGCGCAAAAAAATCTAACAGTACATCTAAATCCATCAAAAGGTACGATTGGGGGTTTTGCAAAAATTTGTCAATATTTAGATTAACGTCGTATATGAAATACGGCATAATGGACTGTTGGATTACTTCATGGTCATAAATAGCACAACATGGTATAAATTCTTTTGGTGTTTGAATGTCCATGTGCAACATGATATCAAATAATTCACAGCGACCGTAAAAAACATAAACAGCGTTTAAATCTGACGGAGTAACGTTTGCACCATAACTTAATAAACAACAAACTAATTCTGTTAGAGTTTTCAGCGGTAATTTGTTTTTGTGAAATATTTTTGCCAGACTAGAAATTGGAGATACGGATGTGCAACAGTTTTGAACGACTTCTTGAACAAACTCGTTTTCAAAGAGAAACTCTAAAAATGAAAGGAAATCTGGTCCAACACATCTCATCTTTTCTACTGCAGTCAAATAATTAGTTAAAGTGCAACAACTGAGAACCATATCTCTAAGGATATAGTCAAATTTATTCCACAATAATATTAGATTTTCAGGTTTAACGTCTGGTAGTACATTATTAAGGTTGTGTAATTGATCTGTGTCATATACGACGGTGGATACCTTGGTTAAAATCTGTTCAAACAAAGGCCACTTCATGGTGATCGCTTTAGTCAAAGTTTTTAGTTCAATTGTGCAACCTATCTCATCAAAAGTGCAATGGTATAAAATCAGTTTCAGTTGTAGATCTAGTGACCTAAATTTGTCTACCATTAGAGGAAGTGTTCCATCGTGGCATCCAGTAGATGTATCGGCCCCATAATACAACAGCATGTGAATAATGTCTGCATTTCCACGCTGACACGCTACATAAAATGGTGTTTTTCCAGCCAAACTCTGAGCATTAATGTCACTTCCTGCTTCTATCAAGATCTGACAGACTGCTAAAGAACTAAACTGACTTGCGTGGTGTAAAGGTATGCACCCCGCTCCATCTCTCAAGTTAACATTGGCGCCTTTTTTTATAAGTTTCTCAACATAATAAATTTTATCAGATAATACAGCTACAGTCAAGGCACTAATTTGCATACAGTTAACGGCATCTAATTCGACATCATTTCTTTTTATTAAAAACTTGAAAACGTTTTGGCTAAAAAGAAATATAAATTTAAAAAATAAAAACAAACGAGAAATTTTTATGTCAAAACCTGTTATTTAAAACTGCTATGTGAAGCAGAGTGTTTTCTTCGCGGTCTCTTGTATTTATAGACGCTCCTGTCTTTAACAAGAAGCTCAGTAACCAGACATGATTGGTGTTTGCTGCGAATATTAAACCAGATAACTTTGTTGATTCAGGGATCTGTCCCGTAGTTAAAATGCTTAGTTCAGGCTGCAAAATATACAAATATATATTATGAACACATAATATGGGACAGTTGCTTATTACATGTGCGGGTGATGGACGTGTTGCGCTAATTAGACGCTGCAAATTACTAACTGAAGTCAAATTACCCATGATTGTTGCTTAAAATTTGAATGCACACACAATTATTTTCGTTACAACACTATGTATCACTTGTTTCATGACTTTTCCATACCGACGCCACTTACGACGTCGTAAAAACAGCGGTTCATACTCTCATCTAACAAGGACAGTTTACTTTTTAATCAATGTTTGATTGACGTCACTGTTACGTGCAAAATTATGTGTGCGTCTGATTCACCATTACAGAAATCTATGTAGAGATGCGTCGCCAGCCACATAACTTTAAAACTGGGAATTTTTAAATCAGCCATTCAATGGATTTTTGCTGTCATTCCATTTTTTCGGTATAATATATATATATAACAACATAAACCACAAATTGTTTAAAAATATGCTTTTTATTTATTTATTATATGATTTTCAACAAAATTTCCTCATTGTATACCGATGAATGTGTGTCTGATTGAAAAATATAATTTAGTTAAATATAAATGAACTAACTAACGCATGTAGTTATGTATTAATATATAGTATAACTGTGTCCCACACGTTGCTATATTGTGTGATAGTACACAAATTAGTTACCGTTGACCGACCCCTAAAAAACCCATGCTGTTGTTCCGTTGTTTATCTATCAAAAACTCGAACAGTTTAGAAAAATTGTTAAGCAACGCAACTAGACGGCAATTCTCAATTGATGACTTATCACCTGATTTAAATACCATCATCAGGATTCCTACAAAAAAATTCAAGTTTGCTCTAAAACAAAAAATTATACTTTAACAGGGCTAAATTTCCGGCGTTGTATACTGCTTTGTTAGGTCGTTATTGTGTAATTTTCAGTGATTGGAAGTAGTTCAATTACAAGTAATTTATTATTGTAATTCAATTCCTTTTCTAGCAATGAGGAATTGTAACGCATTACGTTTCAAAAAATGCAATGAGTAATTGCAATGAATTGCTTTTTTGAGTAATTTAGTCACTTTTACAATTACTTTTTGCAATTACTTTTAACCCAAATACTCAAAAATATTGTTTTGTTTTTCTCTATGAATCGTTCACCTGACCTACTGGGATTATTATACCTGATTTGTCACCACAAAGAGAAGATTAACCCAGTAAGGAGTTACAACTTAAAATGAGTTGTGAAAACTCAAACAACCCGCTTTAAATTAACATGTAAAAAAAAATTGAAAGGCCCACGAAAATTTCAAAAATTCAAAAATTTGGCCTTGGCTGTGATCGTCCAACAAAGTGGAACCCTACATTGTGTTTTTTTTTTGTGGCGGAATGAGTTGAGATGCAAGTGGTGGACCCCAAGGTTGGAAAAGTACCGCTAAATAAAACACAAAATATATGGAGGACACAAAATCATTTATTCCTCCACTGACAAAAAAAAAAGAAAAAAAAAGCTGCCACTTGGTTGTGCCGGTTGAAGACACCTCTTAGTGCTCAGCGACAAAAAAAAACTTGCCTAACTTGGAATGAAATCAAATTAAACGTTCTAAATCAATGCAAATATTTCAAAATCACAAATTTAATAAAAACAAAGAAAAATCTGAATTAAAGTAACTGGATGCAAATACACAAGTTATTACGGACGTGTGTCGGCAAATTTAAAATTATGACAGTCAACAAGAGAACGAAATTTTAATAAAATTATGCAGCGGGGCGCATAGCGACAGCGGCACCAGAACGCTATAAGAGTGTGGCGATCGAACCATCATTGTATCACGAGCGGAGTTTGGGGCTCCTGATTGTGGCTGTTCTGCCCCCACGACGGTGATTCTATTCTATCGGTCGCAAACTCGTGGCTGGAAATCACGGCTATAGATAAGTTAACAGTTCATCCCGACCACTCCCCTGACTTCTATTCTAGGTCTGCGTTTTTTGCGCAAATTGTGCGATAAATCCCGCCAGCTCGACTAGTAACCGCGCCCTCCGCTTCTTCCACGTGTTTCTGTGTTATCTACCTCAGTTCTATTTAAATGTTCACTTTCTATAACTCTGATATTAAACTACAATCGAGCAAGGGTTAAAGTTTCAAAAGAGCAATAAACAACATTTACTTTCGCCATTCACTCTCGTGAAGTTTTAAACAGCAAAGAATTCTTATTTGAGATTAAGACTGGACAGCAGACAATTTATATGATGGAAGCATTAATCAACAAAATATTTACATAAAAATAATTAGCAAAGATTTATAAAAACAAAAAAGATCTGGTGTGAAATAAGACTTGTGCAGACAAAAATATTCCGTGAGGTTAGGAACTGCAGAGCATGAAAATTTACGTTCATTTTATATTATACAGCAAAGAAAATTACTGATGTTAAAATTGTAAGATAGAGAAAAATTTTATGAGGTGAAAAATTGCAAATTAAAGGTGAAGTTATTTAGCTGCATTGTGAACAATTGTTTTGCATCCCCCAAACAAACACAAAAAAAGCATAGTAGGCAGTCTAGGAGGTTCAAAATGGTGTCGGACGAACGCGTCGTTCAAAAAAAAAAAACGTCAAAAATGTGTCTCCTAGAAATGTGATCAATGTGTGGCACTGTGCAGATAATGGTCTGAATCAAAGGAATAAAATGCACGTCCCATATGACCCACAATGTTGTTCACTGGTTCAACGAAATTTTACAGTTCAAACATGTACTCGGTTTGAAAATACTCTTTCAACGTGGCCGCTAGGGACTTTAAAACAAACAACAGTGACGCGCCACCTACCCTCTATCAAACAAGTGAACTTCATTACCAACCCTCTCACCAGATACTACTCAGAAATTCCCTAGGAGAGCTACCAACTACCAGAAAAGACTAAACTTGCACATGATTGCCTATGTTTAAGGATTTTCTTGATTTGAATTCTTTTTAATCCATTTGAATTTTTTTTAATTCAGATTATTCAAATACGATTTCACGCCGCGGTTTTTTTATTCAGCGCGAAATTTTATTTCAAATTCGGTCATCACAATGACCTAAATTAATTAGCTTTCTACACAGTTTTATAAGCAACCGTTAGCCCCCCTCACCCACCTTCTCTTTGTTTGGTGTTCGGGAACTTATTTTAAACCCAAAAATCCCCATATCGGTTTGGGCCACACCCATAGGGCTAACCATATGGGGAGAGTCAGTAGCCTAAGGTATTCAGCCGTAATAACATCTCACGCTACCGGTGCGAGTGTTTACACCACTTTTTTCATTGTTTTGTGCGGTATTCTCGACGATAACCACTACTTATCACTTCGCCAGGGGATCCCCGACACAACGAATTCAACGCATTTAAATCATCGAGCCCAGGTAAGTCCACAAACGATAGCGGGGGTTTCGTTACCTGTCGGCTCCGTAATTTCGCGTACAACACATACACTCTTCATTCTAGTTACTACTCTTAATATTGTTTGGTTTTACCTTAGCAAGTACTAACCCCAGCCACCATCCCTTTATTTTCTTGGAGGGTCTACCATTTGCCGATATCAGTCTTATCTTAAGAAAACTAGCCTCACCTACCCGCCCTTCATTTTCTTAAAGGGTGCGTCATTTACCAGAATCAGTCTTTATCTTAATAATAATAATGTCGGCAATTAAAACCTTATAATAAAACGACGAATAAGGTTCTATGGTGACCGAATTTGAATTAAAATTTCGCGCTGAAACAAATTAACAGCAGCTGCGCGAAATCGCATTTGAATAATTTGAATTTGAAAAAAAAGACAAAAAAAAATCGTTAAGGCAACTATGTGCACGTTAGCGGGTTGGTAGAAGTGGGCGGCTTGGTAGATGAGTCATTCTGTTCGGTGGCGGTCCATCACTCTTAATGTGTTGGTTGTAAGTGTAACTACGTGGTGAGTTAGCTAGGTTAAGTTTATAATTTCGGAGACTTTCACGGTCGGAATCAATACATGATCGTTTTTCGGGTTGGAACCGTGTAAATTGAGTTTTTGGCCACACTTTCGTAAGTGGCATCTTCAGGAGCAGGGTTAAGAATAAGGCAAAAGAACACGGTCTGTCAACCATATCAGATACGAAACTCTTTTAAGTTTAGTTGGTTTGGTAGTTAATAAAAGGGAGGAAGCCTTTGTTTAACGACAATTAATCATAACGACGACGGCGCCACAGTTTCCCCAACACGCGTAGCTAATTCTTGCGGCTTTTCAAGCGGAAATAGGCGAATTTTCGACCGACGCTAACACGTGTGTAAATTTGTTTTATTGTTTGTAAATTTACAGTTCATGTTAGGAGTTTAATCGTTAACTGATTCTAACACAGTTTAACAATCAGGAATTTGTTTAGATAAACACTTGCTAGGAGGTTTCATAAAATTCACTCAGTCAGGACGCGTTCTTTGTTTACCCAATTTTAAATTAGGTTGCTGGATGCTTATACTTAAGTGTTACAGTATAACACTTCTTAATTCTTCACACAAGATTGCTAATAGTTCATTTAAGGCAGTTAAATTAACCTAACGTTGCTCCACTCTGGAAAAGACCGTGGAAAGTGCGCGAGAATTCATAATATCGTGCACTGAGGTATGGGGGGATTATGAATTTTTCCCTTTAGACAGTTATCATCGTTATTATCATCATATCATCATCACATCACTCAGATATTTTGCTCGCAACGTGCAGAGCTATATCACCGAGTCATGTTTTCTCGCAACCCTGCAAATTACGTCACTGAGACCTGTTTTCTCGCAACGTGGATAATTACATCACCGAGGAGCTTTCCTTGCAACACCTGATACATTTTGTGTTGTTTATTTATCATGTGTTTTGTCTGGGGTAAGCTGGGACAGTCTAGACTAAGCTAATGGTTTAAGTAACCAGTCACTTGGATCGACGCATCATTTAACATAATGTAAATTCTTTGTTTGAATCGTTGATAAAGTGTGGCATAATTTAACATAATGTAACTCTTTGTTTCAATCGTTGATAAAGTGTGACATAGTTTAACATCAGGTAAATTCTTTGTTCTGGCAGCGGCCATGTTGAAAGAGTATTTTCAAACCGAACACATGTTTGAATTAAAAATCTTATTATACAAATTAACAACATTGTGGGACGTGCATTTTATTCCTTTGATTTAGACCATTAGTTGCAAAACGCCATAGGATGAATCACATTTCTGGGAAATATAATTTTGACGCATTTTTTTGAACGACGCATTCGTCCCGCGCCATTTTGAGCTTTCAGATTGCCTGCTATGTTTTTTTTTTGTGTTTGTTTGTTGGAATGTAAAACGATGGCCCACAATGCAGCTGAATAACTTTACTTTAGAAAATTAATCAATAACTCGAATGGACATAAACTATTAAAATCATGTAATTTTGTAAGCTTTGCAATTTTTCACCCCATACAATTTTTCGCTATCTCACAATTTTAGCCTCAGTAATTTTCTTTGCTGTATAATTTAAATTGAATGTAAATTTTCATGCTCTGCAGTTTCTAACTTCACGTAATGTTTTTGTCTGCTGTGCAATCTTAATCTCAGATAAGAATTCTTTGCTGTTTCAAATTTCACAAGAGTGTATGTCGAATTCACATATTATTTATTGCTCTTTTTGAACTTTAACACTTGTTCAGTTGTAGTTTAATATCAGAGTTATAGAAATCAAACATTTAAATGGAATTGATATTAAATAACACAGAAACACGTAGCGGAAGCGGAGTCCACGGTTCCTTGTCGAGCTGACCGCCGCGCCATCTGTACTTTTGTACTTTTGCATCTTTTGATGCAAATCTTGAATAGAAGTCAGGGACGGTCGGGATGACGTGACGCGGTCAGCTTATTTATAACCACGAGTTTGCGACCGTAACGGTCTGGGTAGCGCGGCACGTTTCTTCGTGATAGAGGGGTGTTGGGCGACATGCTTGCCGATAGAATAAAATCACCGTAGTGTTTGTCGATGTCAGCCGCGAACGTAGAAAGCTGGACCACTTCTCATAACAAAGCTTTAGTTGTTAATTTTTTTTTATATCAAATTAGCAATTTTAATGTACGCTCCTAATGTGCAAAGCGGAACGGTGTTTATCAAAATTATTTGATTTTTTAAATAGAACATTAATAATTAAACTCTATTTTTTTTATTTAACCTAGGTCCAGTTTTCTATGGCCGCTGTATAATTTTTTATTAAAATTTTGTGCTCTTGTTGACTGTCATAATTTAAATTTGCTGCCCCACGTCCGTAATAACTTGTGTATTTGCATGCAGTTACTTTACTTCAGATTTTTCTTTGTCTTTATTAAATTTGTGATATTCAAATATTTGCATTCATTCAGAACGTTTAATTTGATTTCATTCAAAGATTTTTTTGTAGCTGAGCATTAAGTGGTGTCTGCAACGGGCACAAATTAGTCGCAGCTTTTTTTTCTGTTTTTTTTTTTGTCAGTGGAGGAATAAATAATTTTGTGTCCTCCATATATTTGGTGTTTTATTGAACGGTACTTTCCCAACCTTGGGGTCCACCACTGGCATCTGAATGCATCCCGCCACAAAATAGTTATTTACATTATGAGTGCAGTAGGTAGCATTTGACAGGCGCGGTTTTAATTTTGAAGCACGACGCGCAGCGGAGTGCTTTAATAAAACCGAGCCCTGTAAAATGACCTAACGCACATATAAATATGTATTAAATTTTTTGTCCGACCTATTTTGTACTTATACTAATCTTTCAAATTCAAACCCTGCGAAATTATAACTCGGTATTGCGTACGCTGCTTTAATAGTAATTTGTTGACATTCGCTTTTCTAACTAAAATTTTTCTTTTCACGTATCCTTTATTATTTTTAGAACAATTTATTTTTTAAAAGCCTCTTAAACATAAAAAATTTCCAGTTATTTTACTGCACCGCGATGTGGTAAAACAATGAATGACTATAAAATCGTAGTTATCGGGTGCATCAGACGCTCATGAATGAGCTCTGTACACAAACGTAGGTTCCTTTTGTCAGACAATCACAGCCAAGGTCAAATTTTTGAATTTTTTATTTTTCGCGGGCTTTCAATTTTTTTTTCACATGTCAATTTAAGGCGGGAAGTTTGGGTTATCACTAGACAGCGGATTTCTGTCGGGCTACGTCACGATATAGGTGGGGACGCGCTGCAACGCCGGGACTCAGTAGCGGGTGATAGGTAATCACAGAATTTAATTGTCACTTGATTCCATAAATACAATTAACGATTTATTAATCAAACGGCTAAGTAAATGAGAACTGGAATTAACAGCAGAGTGCAACGAAGCAGCGTTATTCTAATCTCAAATAAACGAAGTGCAGCCGGTAACAGCAATGAATTCCCATCCCGTACGAGCCGTACCGAGTTTGGCCTTGTCTAGCCCGACAGAAATCCGCTCTCTAGTTATCCCAGTTCCTAATTACATATATTAATATCGTAAATTATACTTAAACGTAGTGTTGTAAGTCTACCTACGAGGTAAGCGCCAAATATTCTCGGCCTAACAAAGAAAGAGACCTGATGGAAAAAAATTAAATATTTATATTTCAACATAGTCTCTGTTAACTTCAATACATTCAAAACTACGTTCAACTAACTGCTCTATCCGTTTAAAAAAATTATTTGAATCTTTATCACTAAAATGATGTAGTACTGCCGTTTGCACTTCTTTATCCGTCCCAAACGTTTTCCCTGCAAGTCGTTTTTTAACTTAGAGAACAGTTAATAATCGTTCGAAGCTAAGTCAGTACTGTAGGGTGGGTGCTCAAGTTACTCGAAGTCACAGGCCCCTATAGCAGCTTGAGAAAGACATGCGGTATGAACGGGCGCATTGTCATGAAGCAATCGAACGCCTCTTGCTAATTTTCTCGGCCTTTTTTCCCAAATACGTTCTCCTAATTTATGCAATAAGTCACCATAATATGTAGCGTTGACAGTGGTATTTCATCCTTTAAAATTAATCAACAACATGCCTTTACAGTCCCAAAAAATTGTGGCCATGATTTTTTTGGAAGATTGATTCGTCTTCAAGGGTTTCTCACCCCATGCGAAATAACTGTAATCATTTTTTTTAGTAAAATGTGAAGGGCAAGCTTCAGCAAACACAAAAACCATCCTGCCCTTAATACCTTTTAGAGCAATTCCATCTTTTGCTAAGAATTTTATTGCCGTTCGATTTTCAATTTTAAACAGGCATGATGAGTCCATAATTTTTCAAAGATTAGTCCTTAAATGTGTCAAAACTAATGGGCAGTAGGGCTTGAAATTTTACACACATACTGCGGGGACCCTCTAGTCTTCTATGAGTTGTACAAATTTCCCGATGAGCAATCGCAAATATATCAGGCCGAGAATATTTGGCGCTTACCTCGTAGATTTTACTGGCAAGTAACTGGTTGATAATGTTAAAAAAATTTCATTTTCTTACTGACGATTTTTTAATACACATTTGTAGCCAAATAAAAAGAATGTGACATCGAACTTGCACTGTTTAGTTACAAATAGTAACTGGTTTCTAAACTGGTAAAAAATCAAGTAATTTTCGTTAAGTTAATTCGTTAGTGTGTTGTGGGTTGTGTGGTGGTGTGTTCGGCTTCGGCGTTTGACTTAACCAACATAACCTAAAATACCTTCATAATTTGACAGGTGTAACATGTGCAACGAATCAAAGTAAATATTTTCCTTTGAACCTGCAGAAATGTCTCAACCAAAAACCAAGAAAAATTCACCATGGCTACAGTGTGAAACTTGTTTCATAAATATAATCAACAAAGATATTGACAAACACTCATCAGACTGTCCTCCAAGTCTTACCCACAATTACGGCTTTATTAAAGATAGAGTTTTATTTGGAAATTTGGATATAAAAACTAACGAAGAAATTAAAGGTGTTGTTGAAAAAGATAGTTTGGTATTTTTGAGTCAAGGAGCCATTCAATTATGTGAACTCGCCATCGGTGACTGGGTTTTAATTAAATTAAGTAATGACTTGCCACCACTGGCAAAAGTTGTGTGGCCTACGACTGAAAAAACATTAACAAGTGTCTTATTGACCAAGCAAGGTATAAAAGTGTTTTGATTCTGCAAACTGTGTATTATATTGTTAAATTACAGCATTACAATTAGCTCAAGCTGAGGTAGATTTCTGTGTACAGGTATCAGTTGTACCTCAATACTTACCAGAAGCTTACAGGGTCAGTATAATTGCACTAAATTTGCCAAAATCGTTTGAAATTCCATCAGAGTTATCCAACAGAATTCAAAAGAGTTATATGGATAAATTGTTATGTGTAGGAAACAGAATTAGTGTAATGTTTTTTGGGAAACAAATAAAATTTGAAGTTAAATTAATTGAAAGTGCACCTAATCAACATTTAGAAGAAAAATTCAACAAATTAAACACTGATGAATACACTTTTTATAAAGTTTTGAACAAAACTATTTGGGAATTTTACAGGTAAATAAATTAAACTGAGTTAGACAACCCAAAATACACTTCTTGCAGTGATAGCACTGAATTTGAACAAGTGGATACCAAAGGTGGATGTATTTCAACAATTGGTGGTTTAGATGACGAAATAAAAGAAGTTAGGGAGGCCATCAACGGATGTCTGTGTACTTCAAATAAAACATATGGCTTGAAACATTCTCAATCAATACTTTTGTTTGGAAATTGTGGAACTGGTAAAACTCTACTTGCTAGAGCATTAGCAAAGGAATCAAAAGCCCATACTCTTGAAATTTGTGCTTCTGATTTATACAGCAAACATTCAGGAAATGCTGAAGAGACAATCAAAACTTTATTTGAAGAAGCTCTTGAACATGCACCTAGTATTATTATCTTAGATGAAGTGGATATCCTCTGTCCAGTTAGATCTCAGAGGCTTACAGATTCAGAAAAGCGTGTAATTTCGACTTTATTAACCATGTTAGATAATTTAAATCAAAATTCAAAGCACGTTTTTGTTTTGGGAACCACAAATAAGCTTGAATCAATTGACCCAGTTTTTAGACGATACGGACGCTTTGATAGAGAAATAGAAATCAGCACTCCTAATCCAAAAAATCGAAGAAAGATCTTAATCAAATTGCTTAACAATGTTGAGCACATCTTAACTGAGTTAGATCTTGATGAAATAGCTTTGAGTACTCATGGTTTTGTGGGTGCCGATTTGGTTTCTTTATGTTCGAGAGCTGGTCTTAACGCGTCGCGGCGTCAAGGCGAGAAAATTTCTGTAGATGATTTTAAGAGTGCTTTAAAGTACGTGCGACCAAGCGCTATGAGAGAAGTTCAAGTAGAAGTGGCAAATGTGCATTGGTCGGACATAGGAGGTCAAGAAAAACTGAAATTAATTTTAAAGCAAGCTGTAGAGTGGCCTTTGAGACACCCGGAAAGCTTTATTCGATTAGGAGTGACGCCTCCGAAAGGGGTTCTGATGTTTGGACCTCCTGGTTGTTCTAAAACTATGATAGCCAAAGCACTAGCTACAGAAAGTGGCCTTAATTTTCTATCAATTAAGGGTAATTTTTCATGTTGTTTTTTTCTTTTTAGTTTATTTGGTTTTAGGTCCTGAATTGTTTAGCAAATGGGTAGGGGAATCAGAGAAGGCCGTTCGTGACGTTTTTAGGAAAGCGAGACAAGTGGCTCCATCAATAATATTTTTTGATGAAATTGATGCACTAGGAGGAGAAAGAAGCTCAGGTTCTAGTACAAGTGTTCAAGAAAGGGTTTTGGCACAATTGTTAACTGAACTGGATGGAGTTTCTCCTTTAGGAGATGTGACTGTTTTAGCAGCCACCAATAGACCCGATCGAATTGATAAAGCACTGTTAAGACCTGGACGATTGGATAGAATAGTATATGTGCCACTACCTGATGACAACACACGGAAGGAAATTTTCAAGTTGAAGCTGACAAAAATGCCTGTATGTAACTTTTTAAAAAGTGTCCAAAACTGAATTCTATGTATTTTTTATTTAATTTAAGGTGCAAAATATTGACATTGGTGATTTAGTTGAATTAACTCAAGGGTACTCTGGAGCTGAAGTGAATGCCGTTTGTCATGAAGCAGCTATGATGGCTTTAGAGGAGAGCATAGACGCCGAAACTATAGAAATTCGCCATTTTGAGAAAGCATTAAAATTAATAGTACCTAGAACACCTGATGGTCTGATTAAATTGTATGAAGATTATTTGAAGAGAAATATATAACTAAAATATTTTAAGTAGTTTTATTTCACTTGAGAAGCTTAATAATAAACCTATTGAATTTAATGACGTCAAAAGGATGTCCAAATCTACTTCAACGTATTCACCAATCACAGAAGAGAGGAGGTGAAACAAAACATCTTTTATCTATGATGATGAGTTACGGTGCTTCAGAAAATTGTGAGGTTAGGTTTATTTATAGTGTTAAATCTTGTCTGATACACTACACAGTAAACCAGTAATTAAATTAAACGATTTGGTTCAAGTGTTTAAATGCATCATATATCGTGTACTTTATTTTTATTAGTGTTCTTGGGTAAGCGAATGTCTGTATTGTTGGTTGCAGCCCTGTTGTCTACTTTATAATAATACGAAGTAATAAAATAATTTCATGCTTTTATTAACTTATTTAATAATAATTAATAAATTTACAACAAAAAATTTATTTTATTTTATTTTATTTATTTATAACTTCTTATCGTCTGACATCCTATTTTTGTTTAATAGAATCGAACAACGAATATTAATTATATTCCATTGTTTTTTATCTAATCGAATACATATTCACAAAACTATAGATATTAAATCTTAATATACATCCTTATGTGTCATTATTATGAGCGATAAGAGATTCGTTAAAAATGTACCTAGTATAATTAGAAGTATGATGAATATTTATCAAAATCTCCTCTGCAAATAAACATGATGTTGCGATTTTTGTTTTTGTTTGTTGAAGCATAAAGCATACATATCAACTAATGGCTAAAATAGGACTCACAGTCTCACACAATAGTTAATCGAACAGTTGATCAAGTAAATATTGTGCGTGCTGCGCAGTAGGTAAAGTTTGTCTAGAATTATAAGAATTTTATGGACTCCCAAAGTTAAGTCGTTTTACAGCCCTGTTGTCAATTTTATTGTACAGCTGAAGAGCGGGGCGAACTCAGGTACAGAAAACATCGGCTTTCCCCTGACAGGCTCTTTACCTGTACAAAAAGAATTGACGCCTGGGCTGTAAAACGAATTAACGTTGGGAGTCCATAAAATTCTTATAATTCTGGACAAACTTTATTACATTTTATATTCTATCTGACTAGTTTCCACTTCGAGCGATGCTGAATTTCAGTTATTTTATGTTTTAAAACCGAAATACATATTACTTACACATTTTTGTGGCGATTTTTTGTTTGTTTTTAGTATTTTAATGACTATCAAAATTCTAGTATTTTGTTAAGGTTCTTCGGAAAAGCTAGTATGATTACTTATTATCAGGTTTATATTACCTTCTGTATTATGTACTACCTGTTTTTGGTAATACCTAATTTTGTACTCCAACAAGACAATTGTCTTATACATACAACATATATAGTTCAAGATTTGCTTAGGGAAAATGGAGTACCAGTGTTAGATTGGCCGACTAAGAGTCCGAATCTAAACCCGATAGGAAATATTTGGGCTATTATGGCCAGAGGCATTAAGAACAAAATTTTGCCAGAAATTAGTGCGAAATATCGTCGATACATGACATCAAATACCATTTGGAGATGTTCAAAGAACAGTTTTATCAATACTCTGATTTAAGAAGATCGTCGATGCATTCTAGTAGCCACTTTTGCAGTCAATTTTGTATTCTCTGACACTGACTTGTATGACACTAGATGACGTTTGAGAAACTTCACTCTGAAGGCAAATTTACAATGCCAAAATTTAGGACTCATCAATTTGTACTAGTAATATTATTTGGCAACTTCGATAGTACGTGTAGGTAAGCGAAGAAAAATGTTGTTGCCCCAGTGGGAATCGAACCATAGGTTTCCCGCTTGCCGGGCGGGTGCCCTGACCACTAGACTCCAGAGCGGCTTATCTTTCTTCGCTTACTACTACTTATTATTGTGTCGCCACATACCTACATCACATACCGAGACGTAAAGTATCGCATTAGACATTACTGACCAATTGTGAATAAACACATTTTTAATTTACATATAATTTAATTATTTAAAATAATTTAATTTCTAACCTCCTAGTTGTAAGGTTTACTGTAAACGTTAATATGGAATAATTCATTACAAAGTTCAGAAAGACAGTATGAAAAAATATTCGAACACGTCACGTTATTTGTTAAGCGATGTACATTTTAAGAATAAAACACACAGATATACTTTTAGTTGACACTGTAGAAGGTACAGTTTTTAAATAAATCAGTCTTACGTTTTTATTTAGTTTACTTGAAAACAAACGAAAAACAGGTTACATAGTTTTATAAGCTCTTAATTTCAAAATCTAGCAATTACACTAACAAAATGTACAAAGATTTTTCACCTGGGTTGTGCATTTCCTTATAAAGTACAGTTGGTTTTTTACAGGAAAATACAAATATGTAATACAAAGTCCAAAATACGAAAAAAAAAAAAAGAATATTATACACACATTTGGAAATTTGTACACATTCTAGTTCTTAACTGGTTTTAAAGCGATATAAACAACTGATATTAGAGTTCCGAAAAGATGTACTTAAAAAAAAAAATAAAAAATATGCTGCTATACAGGGTGATAAAAAAGGTTGCACTAACTCAACGACACATTATTAAGTTTACAAGATTACGTTCGAGAAAAATATTTAAAACATTTTTATTTTTGTTATACGTCGCTTACAAAAAACAAAATATCGTTTTAGTTAGATGGATTAAAAAGGTGAAAAATTAGCCACTGTTGTCAAAGTTTCAAAATTTTGACAAATCAAGTTGTGGGTTCTTTCTTCGAATTTACCAACTTCTGTTTATCACTTTATGTACCTATATCGTTATAATAGGTAGCTCATTAATTATTAGAAATAGAAAAAAAAGTCTAGACCAAAGTTGTACAGTGCTTTGAGTACCATATACTAAAATTATTTTCAACTATATATAGAGAGATAAGTTATTCCAATTTTCTTGAAATTTTTTTTAGCATTTGACGGGTTCACATTAAAACCGCAATAAGGTTATTTTAAAAACTTGGGTTACTATATTTTATACAAAGATAAAAAAAAAGATAAGGTATTTATTGTGGTATAATTAAAATTGGAGTTTAATATACAGAGTGTTTATAAAATCTTAAATCAATCTAATTTTCAAATATCGATATTTCAGTCTTTTCAAATAGAACATCCAGTGTTTTATTACTGCATCTTTTTGTGTTTTTTATTGTCTTTCATTTTTATTAAGTATTTTTTTCTATATTTAAAGTTGCTAGTTTTTGAGATTTTTTACTTTTTTAAGGGGCACATGTACATATTGTATAAAAAAGAACAAAAAATAGAGTAAGATGCAGTAATAAAATACCGATTGTCTTATAGAAAAAACTGAAATATCGATATTTGAAAACTAATTTTTAGTTGTCACTCTGTACCTACATTAAAATTTTATTTAATTGGTACCATAACAAAAAGACTACCTCTGTATATCTCTGTACGAAATATTAATTAAAAAGAAATAAATAACGTTACTGCGATTTTTTGTGAACCCTTGCTTTGCAAAAAAAATAAAAAAAAAAAATGGAATAACATGACAATGCCTCAACGGAATTTCAAAAATAAGCTATGGTAACAAAATCTAAGAAGAAGCTAATAAGAATATGTAAAAATATATAGCATATTCTATTAAAAAAAAAAAAAACTGAGTTGCGTGCTTTGCCCTGAAAACAAAGCACTCTGTATATGTAGTCGAAAATAATTTTAATGTACGCTACTCAAAGAGCCGTACAACTTAATTTGTAGGTTTTTTCTACCGCTAATAAATAATGAGATATCGAGGACCGCGCGCTTATTGATCCACGCTGTTTAATAGTATCAACTTACTATAAACTGAAAACTTGTTTTTCTTTGCAAGTTTACACTCGGGATCAGAAAAATCTTGGATGTCATTTTTCTGTTACTTTGAAAATTTTGCTGTAGTTGTTTAAAAAAAAATTACCCTCTGTATGTTGGAACTAATTTTAAACGACGCAAATATTCGTTCAGCTAAACAACAGTTACTTCAGCTTATTTAAATTTCTCAGTTGAAGCATGAAGCCAAACCATTTTTTTTTCAACGAATATGCATTTAATATAATCATATTATATCTACTTGTCTGACTTTTAAATTTACTGTTTTTGTATATTATATAAATTAGCTCAAGTGACAGTTCTTTTTTATGTACTTACATTCATGGTTGTACTGTCAAGGAAGAATAATTTTTTTAAGAGAAAATTATTATTACACCTATTAGTTTATAGAGAAATCAATCATGCAGTTTTTCGTTAATGCAATGTTTGTGGTACCTAAAGTTGTTCTTTTCGATTCTTTTGTTTCTGTCACTCGTGTCATAGTTCTATTTTAACACTTCAGTAAGTGAAGCGCGTTAAAATTCAATATTTTCACAAATGAAGTGTAGTCTTTTGTTGGGAATCAGTTTTTGTTAATGACTTACTTTTTTTGGTTTATATTTTACTATTTTTTTCTTATTGTTATAAACCAAACAAGGAAAATTTCAGGTATCAACAATTAAAATTACTTTTTCTAAATAGGTACACACTTTTTGACCGGAGAAGTTTTATTTAGCAGTTCTTTTGACATCTTTTGCACAAACTTTCGTCTATAATCGTTAAAAATGTTTGCAGTTTTGCTAAATTCAAAATAAAAAAATGTAAGATAAAATTTGCCTGCAGATTGACCAATAGTTAGATTTGATGACTACTTTCTTGCTCAATAGGATACCATGTGGCAGCTTTTCTTTGAAGTGATAATTAATAATTTAAGATTAGTTGCCAGAAATTCGCGAGGTATGCACTTATTTTGTTCATCATATTTTTCAAAATCTACACACATACTAGGTTGCATAGTATGAATACTGTACAATATAGTAAAATTTTAATGTTTCAGTTTCAGAAAAAAGTACTGCTTTGAACTCAAACCTGTCTCTTTTTTGATGTTTGAACTACTATAATTAATGAAGGGCCTATTTCTAGGATCTCTACTAGCTTCCCAAGTCGATGCTATGGATATAAACGACTTTTTTCCGGACATCCACGGAAACTTAACAAAAATCACATGGGCACACGCAGTCAATAGCCAAACATACCTGAAAAATGCTTTAAACAGTAAGATCCAACACCCAAGGTTCATTCATAATACTGTCCATCTTCAGGTTCTGTAATGATGCTGGAAGCAGATGTCATTTATGGTAAAATTAATGGAAGCGGTGAATCTATCCCTATCATGGGCCATCCACCTGCGATCCAGTCCGATCTCTCACTCGAGGACTTTCTAACAACAACCTACAATTTTAATAAGGACGAAAACAATCGTGATGTCCGCAAAGGCGTCAAACTGGATTTCAAATCCACCGAAGTTTTTACCAAATCCATCGATCTAATCAAGCAACTTTATAATTCAGTGAGTGTCCGTAGCACCTAATTAATCATTTTGATTAACAAGGGTCTTTCAGATTGATTATCCCATTTGGATAAATGCTGACATTATCAACGGTCCTCTCAACGCTACGACGGTTCCCGTCGATGCCAACACATTTTTAGCTGACGCTAAGGTTTTTAACAATTCCGTTTTGTCTCTTGGCTGGACGACCACAAAGCCATCTGACAACAATCGCTACACTGATGAACAAATAAACAAAATGGTGGACGCGATTAAGGGCAACGACGTTAAACAAGATATAACGTTTGCTGTGAGAGCGGGAATCGCCGCTCAAAGTCTTGATCAAATGAAGCTTTTAAAGGATGAAGTAAATAATTGCACTTTGACCATTTGGTCGAGCGAAGGAGATAATGTGGACGTTCCAAAACTGAGGGATTTAATATTTGAATACGGGATCAAGAGGGTTTATGTTGATGTTCCCAAGGATTTGTACGATCGCTTGGATTTGGGAAATTCGGCGGCGTAAATTGGGGCGTCTCTGGTCACTCCATTAGTCCTTCTTACTGGGTATTTTAATTGTTGCTTTTGATAGTGGAAATTTGATTAAATAAGCATTTTTGTTAGCATTATTTTTTAATCTACTCATCTAATTTCGCATTTACCAACTGGATTTAACCAATAATTTTTTATACATGAAAATAATACAAACAACTCTTGAAAATCTGAGGTTCTTTTCCTTAAGCCAAATTTTTCCTGTCTTTCATAGTTGGTTTATAATATTATTTTGAAATTAAAGAAGCGAATTCAAAATTTGTATAAATTCTTTAGTATTTAAAACGAAAAAGTGGTATGTATCAAAAAAATTGAAACATTAATTTGAGCAAATAATTCGACTTGTCTATGTTCAAAACATGAAAATCACGTACTGAGTATGGCAGTTACAATAAATCATATGTGAGATCATACGTGAGTGATTTCTACCAGAAATTTATTCTGCTTGAATCTCAAGTCCTGCATGCATATCAACGCATGGTCTTCAAAAAATTCGTTTTAAAAACTGTTTGTTCCAGAATTTTCCGCTACATATACCAACATTTGAGATACCTTGTACGAACAGAACCGTCGACAAAACGCCACATTGGATAGCAAAATTTGGAGCTATTATAATGTTACAATTGCATTTAAATTGTTTTAAATTCTGAAAAAGAGATGATTTGATTTTCCGTTCAGGTTACTAACATTTCAAATTGACCCCGTGTACAGAAACTCGAAAAAAAAACTAGAGCATATGCTAAAAAAGTATTGCATTAGCGTATGTACATCCGGCGAGTGGTAGTCACTTTCATGTTTTTTCGCCATTTCCTGAAGCCTTGAGTATGAAAAAATAAATCTCCCGTTTCCGTCTGTCCGTCGTGTGTCATCTGTGTCGATATTGATTAGATTGACAATGTCGAAAGTTACTGGACCCATTATTATTAACAATTTTTATAGGGATTTTAGGAATATCGTGTAAATGGTAAAACACTAGCTAAAATGTGTCTAATCATCTCTACCAACAATATAATGACGTCACCTCAAAATTTTTCATAGTAAATGTAATTATACACTTGTAGTTTGTGAATCGCATTTTGATTTTTTACCTTAGACATCCAGATTTTTGGAAACTAAATCAAAATTGTATAACAATATTTTATCTTGGAAATGTTTTAAGGTTGTGGTAAGCATGGTTAATCATTGATCAAAATCTACAATTATCACAAAATTTTGTGATGAAAAAATTCACCTGAAACATACCCATTGTGCACAACATGCTTCTTTACCTGCAGTTTCATTATTAAAATATCTAATCAGATAGTGTTTGAATTGTTTTTCTTTTATTTTAGACATTAATCAAGTTACATAAAAAAATTCTTCATTGCTGTTGAACTTATACATAAATACTTCCATTGTATTCAGCATGTCATTAAATTTGGGTTTAATCGCACTTAAATGAATTCTAAGACACTCGATGCACAATATTTTCACCCGTATTTGTTTAGTTGCAATAATTTCTTCACAAATTAGAACAGTAGATAATAATTAATTTTTATTTCCAATTTCCAGTACCAGTCATCATATTTTGGATTTGTAAATTCAGCAGAACCTCCGAGTCAAAAGTTCTGTCATTTATTCCAACCAAAATCTCTTGTTCAGCTATTGCCAGATGCTAGTACGTGATATTTGACATTCTTTGGTAATTGGTGATTCAGCCGACACGATGCTTAATTCAATGTGCCTATTGACGTCGAACCAGTTAATCCCGGAATCGATGGGGTGAATGTAGTCTTAATAACACGTTCCACCCACCCCAATATCGGTTTTGTATGGATTTACCCATAAATACGTGTAATTTGTAAAGTTGAATAATGTGGGACCATCTGGCAACTAATCCAGCAATTCTATGATGCATGACAGGCTCGTAATAAATGTAAACAACTAAACACGGTGAACACGTTATGGTGGAAAGCTCGGCTTCTCCGCTGATGTTTTGTAAACGCAAAGGGAATTCAAATTTCGTATCGCGTAATTTTTATATTGAAAAACTTTTTATTAAAAGCTAGCACCGCTTTTGTGTGGTTTGTGAATATTACGTAATGGGCAAACTTTTATTTTTTTGAGAAAGAAAAATAATTATATTATGAAAAGTGGGTTTTAATTTAAAAGATAACGAACAAACAAAGAAAAGCGTATTCGCATTCATCTCATAATAAGTCTGCTTTATAATAAATCATCTTAAAAGGAAGGCTTTTTAATTTTTAATCAAGTGTCTTGCAGAAAGTGTGCTGTACATTAGGGAATTGATGTTTTTGAAAAGCAGAGTTTTTATTATCGAGAAATGTTTTCTTTTATCTGTTTGTAATCTTATTTTTTTTGTTCGTTTAATAATAATGTCGTTACTGTTCATTCAGGATTCCTTAAATTGTAAAAAGAATTTTTATCATGTTTTTACAATCTATAAATGTCTAAATAGTCATTTGATGCTTTATAAAATATGTTCATGCTTATACAGGGTGATTATCAAAGACCATATCTTAATTTGATTTTTGAAAATCTCGCACTGAATTTTTAAAAATTGGTGGCTCCTTTGTATCACAAAACAATCCATTACAATCTAAAAATAACATAAATAACAATATCGAAGAATGCAGTGCTGGGGTGGCACAACATGTAGGTAGAATTGTGAAAAGATAAGTAGGACCGGAAGTTCAGTTGGAAAGCGAGAGGACCGTAGTTCACTCGGTGCTGAACATTTTTCCTCCCTTCCATGTATAGTTCTGTTAACATAAATCTCGTATAATGCAAATTTGACTTTATGTCACATTTTTAAAAATGTTTGCTGTGAAAATAACTGACAACTGAAAAGGAAGCTTTATTCTATTATCACAACATTTGAACATAAATTATTTAATATTTATGTAGTTGTACCACCGTTTGAGTCATTTACGGTACCTAGATCGTTTTTTTCCAGGAATTGCAAAATATGTACAAATGGTGATCTGAAGTTATTGACACTTTGTCTGGATAACTAAATGAACATGAATCTGGCGAAGTCTACCAAAAACTAGGGACAAAAAAGTCAATGTTTGGCTGCAATAACTGGTTTATTTGTAGATAACTTAATAGTAGTTGTTGTTGTTGTTGGTTAAATCAGTTCATATTGTTGGTTAAATCAGTTCATTTATGGAGATAGTTAGGTCGAAAATACAGTCATATATATATATATGACAATCTGATTTTGTATCTAAGTTAACAAGTTTGTTGGTTTGTATTGATTTTGACATAACATAAAAGTGAGGTTGCACGGGATTTATGTGAAGATGACTGTACAAATATGTTGGGTTAAAAAACGTCGTTGCACAGATTCTAAATTAAACGCTTAATCATTGTACAATGGTGATTATCATCAACCGTTGTATAAAATGAATATGCACCTTCATCAAACTGCATTCTGCAAGGAATTTGTGTCCGGTTTGAAAGAATTTCCAAAAGTCTAATATTGACATTGCAGTTATTTGACCGTTATTGTCAAACCGGCCGAAGCGTTGATGTTGCCAGACAATAGTGTTGCCAATATCATTGTTGTAAAAGTAAATTTCATGGCGTACTAGAGGTCATTTTTTCGATTATATGGTAGAAACGTGCACATACTAAAGCTTTCATACCAGCAATAAGTTATTTTTTAACTTAATTACACCAGAAGGGCCAACACTGCGTCAGTTACAAATAATTTTGAAATTATCAGATTGAATGCTTCCAATGACACTTGATCAAATGATAATCCGAGGCAAGCATAGTCCAAAGAGAGTTTATAATTGCCACATTTAATTATTTCCTATTAAAGTACAGTGAGGCCAAGGGCAATGAAACTGGCGGGAGTTACAGTGGTGGACAGTGAATTTCGTCCGACCAACTTCTTTGACAGAAAAAAACTCTAAATTAGCCCTTAGATCTTTCTAAACTTTTTTTGTCATTTTGACATAAAAGGGCAAACTAATCCGCATTTGGCTTTCGTAGCACTTCTGAGAAGTTCTGTATAGTAAATTAGTAAAACAGGTACTACACGGGCTAAATTCAGTACCTAAATTTTCTACGAATGTTCTCTGCAAATTTTCGCTTTAATTAACTTCTTTTAACGAACATGCACCCCAACGAAGCTAATTATTATCTGCGTAATTAAGCCTCGTATCATACCTGCCTCTCAGGTTAGAAATCAAGACCAAACAAAACAATTTCAAATTATAAATAAAAAACTCAAGAAACTGTAACATACAGCAAAGGTATATGGGTGTCTAGAATACAACAGTTAAAATATTACATTTTTCTGGCACGTGTAACATGACCCTTCAGAAATCCATGCCCACGTGTTGAAGATATTTCGCTTTGTTGACATGTTTGAACATATCAGTCATTGCATCGTATGTTTGGAGGCGTGTATACTTTTAACTTGCCATTTTGGATTGAAAGACAGTCTCGTCTGAGAAAATAACTCCAAAGCCTACATGAGATATTGTAAAACAAATCCAATCCGTGCTGCTTTATGGTTTCTCTAATGCGTCGCCGGGCAGTTCTAACTGATGATCTGATAATCGCTGCAGCTTCAATTGCGATCTTCCATAACTTGAACAACCGCATGATTTTCACCAACCCTGGTGATACGACGTGCCTATACAACCCTTGACGACGATCAAGTTGCTCGCCTTTTCTTCATTATTAGATAACTAACACTATTCAGCGGTATGCCTAAAAGTGTAGCGATACGTCTCTGCGACATTCCCTCTTAGAAAAGGAATATTATTTTAACATTAGCTTGACATTTTTGTAGGTTTATTCGAATTGTCAGTGCCATAAAGAATGCCACGAGTTCGAAGATGTGTAAATTTTCATCAACTTATGTCCTTTCAACGAGGACAAATTGGGTATGCGTTAGGCAGGATTAAGTTTTCGTGAAATTGGTAGACAAAGTGGTCGGCCACATATCACAGTAAGACCGACTTGTAGAGATTCGCAGGAAGAAGATTTAGAGGCACGCCGTAGAGGTAGTGAACGTTCTACAGCAACACAGGAACTAGAGGATCAGCTCCTAGGACAAAGTGCTATTCAGGTTCCAGCAAAACCATTCCGAGTTGCACGACAAGATAAAGCTACTAGACTGCAGTGGCAAAAGAATAGACAACACTGGAA